ATACCAGGTTTTTTTTTAGAAGGTAAATCATCGAAACACAAATGAAGCATGGGCACGTAAGTACAACTTACTTTGTTTCATCAAGCCCTGTGTATGTATTAACATTATATAAAAAAATACGATTGAGAACCAAAGGGGTGTGATGCTGCAGTGAAGGTTCGGAACCACTGCTTTTAGAGCCACCATTCAGAGAAGCTGCCTCTGATTATGGGGGGCACACAGTGGGCATGTGAGGGGTGTGGGGGCATGGCTGTTCATGTGGGGGACACATTCCTCTGTCCTATTGTCTGACCACTGAACCATTAAACAAAAAAAAGAGATTTTACCAGGTAAGGCCCACTTAGCTGTGTTGCTCTTTTTCACAAGTGACTTGGCCTCAAATAATAGCTCAACGAAAGTGGCTTGTCACGTGGAAATTTACAGCAGCCAAATACTCTAAACGCGCGATGTTTATAAATGTGGATAGAAAAACCAGAGGACCCGGATTAAAAAAAAAAAAAACATGCGACCACTGGGAGAGAGACATGCAAACTCCAAATATACAGGCGTCAGGATCAGGATTGTGCACTCGCAACCTCCTGCATACCAGGCAAGAGAGTTAACATCTCGCCGCCGAGATACCCCCGACCCCCCTCCTTGTCCATTACCCTCTTCTGCTGCCTGCGTCCCACAGGTTGCTTCTGTCGTCATCATCGTCGTCGTCGTCATGCAGGGGGAAGAGTTCGTCCGAGCCGGAGCAGCAAGGGTCGCACAAGCCCGAGTTTGACATCGCGAGGAACGTGCTCGACCTCATCTACGGACAAACGCTCGCGTGGTTCGAACCCAACCCCCTACCCACCCACCAGAGACCTCCTTCCGCTGCCGTGCGGTGGACGTTGCTAGCGGTTACGAGACGTCGATACCGGCGTTGTTCAAACGGGGGGGGGGGGGGGGGGGGGGAATCGGTGTCGCGGCAGAGGGAGGTGGTTTATGTCACCCCTAACGCTCTCGTGTCTCTGTATATTGAGCACCTGGTGCGTTGTGTAAAGCAAAGCATCGACACTGGGAAGACAAAGACGGCCGGGCATGGTACGCCACTACCACCGCCCCCTCATGCGCTGTGCGGGCGTTCGTAGGTTCTGGACTAATAGCACTTCCCCCAACAGTCTGTTAAAGGTCATACAGGGGACCTTCATATTCTGTGTGTTCGTGTGCATCAAGTGTATTATATTCAGCTGGTTCAGGAACAGTCGACCCAGTAGGCAAACTAGGTGAGGCGCAGGGTCCGCCTTGTGGTAACTTTCAGGCTCGATCCTCCTCTGTTTACTTTTTTACATCTAAAATACCTGGTTGCAGAAAACTACCCCTGATCCACTCGCTGTTATCAAGATCTTCCTTCAGCAAGACGCCTGCTCTCCCTGTCGCTCCGCAATACCGGTGTGCCTTGATGAAGCGTGGTGTGTGCAGCGCCGGTTGAGTCGCTCACCTATTAAGGCATTGACGACTCTGTTACACAAGGATGACGCCTTAATCTAGCAGTGTGCGGAAAATGGCTAAATGTGGTGATAATCATGAGGAATTCATCTCAACAGTGGTGTACATAAATGCTGAGAGTAATGTTGGTGATTATGATCGTGATGGTCTGATTGATCATGTCGCCATTTTCACTACCGCCACCACCACAATTATCACCATCGCCTCTTAGCGGTGACCTCGGCAGAGACCTGCTGACCTTCGTCGCGACCCCTTTCGTCTAGGCTCGGCATCTTCTTCGCTCCCCTGCTGCCGCTGGTGCAGCTGATCAAGCTGATCATCCTCTTCTATGTCAAACGGGTGAGGGCTGTGGAGCGAGGGGGATTTCCATGGACAGCACCAAGGGCTCACTGCGACAGCTCGGGAGGTTTTGACACTATAAACTAATATATATTTTTATTTTACCAGGAAAGATCCACCGAGCTGTACAGCGCTTTTTCAGAAGCGACCTGGCCACAAACGATAGCTCAACAAAGCGGCTTATCACGTGGAAATTTATAGTAGCCAAATACTCTTAAAATAATTTTTCTGAATGTGGAGGGAAAACCAGAGGAGCCCGGAGAAAAATCCACAGGGAGAAAGACATGCAAACTCCAAATATACAGGCGTTATGGTCGGCATCGACCCCACGACCTCTTGTATACCAGGCGAGGCAGTTAACATCTCGTCACCATAGTGCTATGAGGAGGCTGGGCGGCCCACAGGTCAGGGTGCTGAGCCGGCACCACCGATATCCTGGGTGTTGGAATTAATGTTTGACCCCCACCCCACTCCCCCACGTAGAGAAGCCTCTACCTCAACTGCCAGCCACCCACCAAACCCTGGCGTGCCTCTCAGATGTCCACCATCTTCCTGCTCCTGCTCTTTTTCCCGTCGTTCTTCAGCGTCGTGGCGGTGGTGGCGGTCACCATGTGGACGTGAGTTCGCCCCGCTCGCTCGAAAACGATACAAGGCGACGTGTAACGGGGATGGCCGTGCCGAGGTCGCGCAAAGAAGACGATCAAAATCCGTTTCGAAAGGGGAGTCCGGCGAGGCGGGAGGCTCTCGCCAACGCTTAGAATTCTAATCGAAAATTCAGACATAAAGGGGTCAATTCCAAAAAAAAGAAATGGCTGCCAGTTTTTGTCCATAATTACAGACATGTTGATTTTTTTCTGGTGAAAAAATATGAACATTTCCAGTTTTCTTTTAAAATATACATGTTGAACATCTTTCGTACCATTTCTAGCCAACAGTGCTAATCGGAGGTGTCTCCTCGCCGTCTCTTCCCCTCTCCCGTGCCTCCTCTCCGTCTCTTCCACCTTGCCCACATCTCTCCCATCTCGGCACGCGCGCTGTCTCTCCACCGCAGGCGTGAACCTTCTCCGGGGTGCGGGCCGTTCCGCGGGCTCCCGCTGGCCTACGACGCCGTGCGGCGCTGGGCCGCGTCGCTCCCCTTCGGCTCGGCGGCAATCGCCTGGATCTACCACAACCTCGTCGAGAGCCCAATCTTCTTCTTCGCGGCAACAAGCCTCGTGTTGTGAGAGCGCGTGCATGTGTGTCCGTCCGTGTCTCCCATGTCTGAACCCGTTCTGGGCCTCCCCTAGGTCGACTCAGCCTGGTGTGGTGTGTAAACATTGCCACTTGGTAGACAAAGGCCGCCGGGCGTGGTGCTGGCCTCCCCACCCCCTCATGTGCCGTGCCGGCCTTCATGGGTGCTCGTCGTTAACAACACTTTCCCCAACAGTCTGCTGAGGCTATATAGGGGATCTTTGTCTTTGCGAGTAGAGTGCACCTGGCCTGGCACAAGCGCCGTGGCTGCCACCTTAAGTGGCAAATGGTGGCTGTTATTGCCTTTGGGGAAGCAGTAGTGCAGTGATCAGAATACTGTGATATGAACTCTGCAACCCGAGTTTGATTCCCACCAATGGCCAACACTGGTGCCGAATACCTGAATCGCTCCTGGGCCTCACCTAGGTCGACTCAGCCTTAAACGAGTACCTGGTGCGGTGTTAACATCGCCACTTAAAAGACGAAGGCAGCCCGGGAGTGGTGCTGGCCACCCACCTCGTGTGCCGTGCCGGCCTTCATAGGTGCTCGCTAACAGCACTTGCCCTTCAGTCTGTTAAGGTTACACGGGGGATATGTTTGTTAGTCTGTGTGCCGGTGTCCTTTATAGGTGCTCACGAACCGCACTTGTGTTTGTGTGTACGATCAGATTGATCATCTACATCAACGTACAGATTTTGGCCGCGCAGAGGCACGTGATTGAGCTGCTGCAAGCGCGAATTGAGCACGTGCGTAATAACACACACGAAGATCCCTCCATCAGAGTATAGTGCCAGTGCCGTTAGTGAGCACCTATTAAGGCCAGCATGGAGCGAACTAAACTTTTAATTTTACCAAGTAAGCCCCACTGAGCTACATAGCTCTTTTTCAGAAGCGACCTGGCCACATATGAAAGCTCAACAACGTGGCTTATCGAGTAGAAATTTAGAGCAGCCATTCTCTAAATGTCCATCGTCACCACGGCTGGCCACTTTTGTCTGCGCAATGCTGCTTGGGATGGACGTGTCAAGGCTAGAAGGGACGATAATGACAAGAGTGGTAGCCAGAGTGTACTAATATAAAATTAGAATCCGTCTAGGTTTTCAATAAAACATTTTGCTATTTTTTCCGCACGCCTTTATTGTTGTGCGTTCTCGAGTCGCGATACCATTTAGACTCCAACCATTTTGAAGGTGTAATCATTGTGGCAGGACACTCCTGTGCAGGACACTCCTGTGCAAGACACGGAGGCTTTGCTGGATAAACACACTGCTGTAGTGTCATCACCGTGATAATGGTTGTTGTGAAACGCGAGGCGGTCGTGTGTGTGTCGTGGCCAGGAGGGCCAGGACAAGATATTCGTTCTGGAGAAACTGCGGGAGGAGCACAAGCGGCAGATGGAAGTGAAGGCGGCGAGGCAGAGCAAGCGGAGTCGACAAAAAGGTACGGAGGCGGCTGTGTAGTCACCTCGCCTTCCAGCCACCTTGTCACCCAGCCAACTAGTGACTCAGCCAGTCAACGAATCGCCCAGCCACTTAGTCACTCAGCCATCTAGTTAACTAACCACATAGGCACAAAGCAACTGAATAACCTACCCATTCGTCCACCTAATAACCAACCATTTACCTTACTACCTGGTCCACCCGTGCACTGTGCTGCAAAAAAAATCCTGTTCATCCACATACTTTGCTCCACATTCATCACCAGTGCGGAGTGCGGTGGGAGGCATTCCTCGGGTCAGGTTACCCGTTCTTATGCTACTGGGAAATTAATTAAATATTAGCTGTGCTCAGCTTTCTTCCAAACACCCACCCCCTCTTGCAGACAAGAAAAACTACAGCGCGCAGATGTGGCCCTGCCAAGCAGACTTATCCTGAGAAGATGTGAAACGTGGACCTTACCTATCACCTGTGCGCTCTTGGATCGCCGCCTCTTGAACATCACTGAGCCAGAACACAATGTAGGGTCACAACATTGTATATTTTAATAAACTGGTTTTGATAAGTGGGTTTTTCTGCCACCATTCATTTTCATCTCGGTAATTGCTAAGAAGAGTCGACAGTTGCGTAAAAGTGACGCTTTTCGTTCTGCAAAGCACCTGGGTCAATCGCTTGAAGCCCCATCCATCCCTTTAGCCGTACAGACCATGTCAACAAGCCCTGTGTAATATCTCTAAAGTTAAGAGTTTTACAAACTACATTTTACAACATTTTGTTTAAAATTATTTAATTGAACTTGTTTTATTTCCTTCAGTAGTTCAGTAAAGTATCCCACTAAATCTAAATAGTCGTAAAATCATGCATACCACCACAGAGAATATGATAAAATTATAGTTGTGTGCTTTTATTTTTGCCATAACAAGGAGCTAGGCATGGGCACATGCATCAATGTATACACTAAACCCAATTCATCCCTGTAAATACTGCTCCGATGATGATGAGATATGTATAACTCAACAGCCCAAGCTGTTATACTCAGTCACGTAGCAGTGGTTCTCAAGTGACTACCATGCAATGACTGCCGCAACCTGAGAAAAACGACTTCGATAACAAAATTACTTAACAATAAAAAATGTATATTCGCGGGAGATAATCAAAACCCACAGACTTGCAATGACGTTGTAAAATACGCAAAACAATCGGGAGCCACTCCAAACAATCGGGATTGCACAACGCGTCCCAATTCGTAGCGAGTTTTGATGTTCAGAAGACGCACCTGGTGTTCCGCAGCATTCACCATAGTTTGAGGAGTTCCGCAGCGTAAGCGGTCGCGGTATGCGCTGTGCAGCTCTCCGATATGTTTTTGGGTTCTTCAGTTAAGCAGCTGCTGAAGCTCGCAGAGCGAAACGTCGGACATCACGCCAAAATACACACGGTCCAACCGCGAAAACACATCGGACGGCTACATTGGGCGTCCTTTGTGAGAGAATCGGGAACTGGACACGGGTTTTTTTTGTAGGTACTACTTAAGGAAACTTTTTTTTTGCCGGATGATGTGAATTTGAGTTGAAGATCAGAGATCCTTTGTGGTGCCCTTTCCGTGTGATATAAAATTATTCAACGTCGAGGATTTAATTGCTTATGCAAACGGCTGAAACAACCATCCTGGCGTTTCACCCGATTGTAGGCAACGGAAACACGTGCACCTTTTATCCAAAGATCTAACGGGCGAAGGAAACGTTTTGGCAGAATGTGAATCGCTGTCAAATGTCTCCGTTAAAATTATCACAGAAAAAGTTTATTTACGTTGTGTTCAATCCATGTTAAATTAATAACTGCCCTGTCTGATAAAACCGTTTTGAGTTTAAAGTTTTAAAACATACACGATCCCTACTGGATAGCAAAAGCAACTGCAGCCATTAAAACGGCTGTCGTTTGCAAATTTTACCTAAGTTACACAGCGAGCAAGTTAGGATTAACAAATTACCTGCCATTAAAATAAAAACACCGCAGCCCTGCCCTTCTATCACCAGCTTGGCAAATTACACATTCAATTCGAGATATCGGAAGCCTCAAAAGTCCATGAATATACGTGTTTGGTGTGGATGGATTGGGGGGGGGGGGGGTCGGAGTTCGGCGTCACGCGTCGCCCTCGAGGCTGTCGGTGATGTAGTTGCAGTCGAGAACATTCTCGTAGTAAGCCTTCTCCGCGGCTGTGTTCACGGTCCAGCCCACCACGCTCACATCGCGCTCCTGCCACCACTGCACGTAGTCCCTGCAGCAGACACACGTGCCGAGACAATGAGTGTTGACACGTGTATACATGGATGTTGAAGGTCCTTTTTAAACTATATTTAATTTACCAGGTGAGGCCCATTGAGCTGCATAACTATTTTTTAGCAGCGACCTGGCCACAAATTATAGCTCAACCAAGTGGCTCATCATGTGGAAATTTATAGCAGCCAAACACTCTAAACGCATGTTGCTAAATGTGGAGGGAAAAACCGGAGGACCTGGAGAAAAATCCACGTGACCACGAGAAGAGACATGCAAACTCCAAATATATAGACGTCAGGGTTGGGATCTAACCCACGACCTCCTGTAATCTAGGCGAGGCAGCGGCCCTAATCGGGGGTGCAGGGAAGGACAACAAACTAAGTACAAAAAGCAATTGTAAAAAAATACTTTACCAAGATGTGCGATAGGATTGAAAAGGCAGCCACGCACACCGGGCACTGCCAGTTTATCCCTTAAGCTGCGACAATGTAGGACTAACACAACATCCATGCGACAATGTAGGACTAACACAACATCCATGCAGACTGGTGCTAGCAGTTTCCCGCACCTCCGATTAGCACGGTTGGCTATGTATGGTGCGAAAGAAGTAAAAAATATGTACATACAGTTTCTCTCTTTCACACTGACTATGTATGACTAACAAGCCAGCCATTCACACCGGCACTTACAGTTTCTCACTTTTACTGCAATATACTGCAGAATTAACTAGGCAGTCAAGCACAACGGATGACATCCGTATGTTGCAGTCCCTACTATACACTAACTGATTTTCCTATGTAGGCACGTTTGCATTTTGGTTTTTACAAGCGTAAAAGTACAAAACGTGAAACAAAAAATTGACGGAGGCACTCACTGCGATATGACGCTCTTGTGCATGAGGACAGCGGAGATGCCACACAGTTGCCACAGGAAGTTGTGGAGACTCCAAGCCAGTGCCACGTCCATCAGCATCGCCCAGCGGTGGCGAAACCATCCCAGGTGCAAGCGCTCTCCCTCCAGCGTGTGGCTCAAGACCCACGGCCGGTGCGTCAGCGCCGTCACCACCGCGACGTCCTTCTGCCGCATCTGGCGTGCGTACGGAATCGGAGACACGCGTGCTGAAGAAAAAAAGTAGAACAAAAAAATGCTTGGAAGAGACCAGTGGCGTACAGAACATATGGGGGTGGTTTGCTTTCCTCCCATCGACAATTCCTGAGCTACTTGTGACAGACGTGTGGATCAGAAAACATGGATGGTGACGAAGTAAAGTGGAACAAAAGTTTAAAAATGCGTAAAGAGGTATGGGGAGGCGCGGGCTTGGAATTACATCGAGACAGGATGAAGAACATGTGGATAAGAGAACACGTGCAATGTAGAGGCATTATTGTTGGCTTAAGAAAAGCACGCGGGCTTGGGAAAGACACCATGGCTACAAGACGACTACCAGTGGTCGAGAGTAACGATGGAGTGGCAGCCAAAGGGGTGAAAACATGCCCGGAAGGATGGACGCCAGCTCGTGTGCAGGTTCTAGATGGAATGTTACATCCTGAGACAATGAGAGATGGCAACAGCTCGCTCCAGTAGGCCTTCGTTCAGCAGTGGAGGAGTCAAGGCCGATGCAATCGTGATAGGGTGTCAAACAAGGTCCAAATGAGGCGCGGTTGTTTATTTTACAAAGAAAACTCTTGCAGGAGAATAGTAGAGGGCCGGAGGTGTCGATAGGATGCAGTGGGAGACCGTCTTGGCGGTATTGTCTTCTTCTTCTTCCTGGCGTTTTCCCCATTCATGTGGGCTCTACCACCTTCCTGCTTCTCTTTCTCCACTAATTCCTGTCCTGGGAAATCAACTCCAAATCCACTCCTTCACATCCTGGTTCACCACTTAAGAACACTTCCTCTTTCCCTCCGTCTACCTCGATCTACCCCCTTCCCATGTGCTTCAACGTTCATGACATTTCTTCCGATGTGATTTTCCTCTTTTCTTACGCACATCCCCCGAGCCAAACTGGGTCAAAACTTCCTTCATCTTGTCTGAGATGGGTACCACCCCCACTCTTGCCTTCTTCCTCCTCGTCTCGTCGTTTCCAAACCCGTTCCAGTCGCAATCTCTCAGAGCCATCTCTTCATCCTCTTTTATGCGGCGCAACAACATTTGCTCCTCCCTGGTTGTTCAAAATAAAATAGCACAGTGGTGTGTAAGCACATATGATAATAAATCACAATGGTCAATGTTTGCTGAGTGGGAGATCACTCTTTCCCCCTGTTGCCTGGAATTCCCTTCCATATTCTAGTACAGGTCCAAAACTTATTTGTTGCCTGTCTTTCCTTATTAGTATTATATTATTAAACGAAGTTCTCCTTTGTCCACGATGCCCATGCCTCACTGTTTCTTAGATAATCCTGAGATAAAATTGCATTCAGATGCCATATAAATGCCAATTAACCTTACACATAGGCTTTTCACGACCAATATTGTGATCCGTAATTAGATTATTTTGCGTTAGATCATCGTGCAGGGATGTCAACATCATAAATATAAGCCTCCACTTTCCAAGAGCCAATCAAGTCAAGCTGTCGCATTAAAAAAACATGCCAATTGATATGGGTTTTCAGCAAATGGGAGTGTTGAAAGGCCCAAGCAAAATTGACAATTTTGATTTGTATATTTGCCCATGAGACATGATTTGATTGCTTCTGTCGAGTGGTGGAGAGTTATCGTAAACAAATTGACATACCTACACGATGATTGAACCATAAATGCAAATTGTATAGTATTGCAACACTGCCTAACAACTTAAAAACGCATTATTCCACTACAATGTGAGGTCATTTCATTCAACATAATACGATTATTATACAGCATCTAAATGCCACCGCATCCCAAGATGATGCACGAAAACAGTGGGGATGTTTTAATATAAAGAAAGCATTCTTGAGTTTGGACTTTTAACAGAGGCGTGGAGGGTCAGGGATTCCAGGCTGAGGCGGCAGCAGAGTTGAATGAGTGACCACCGGCTGAGCAAAGGTTGACGGGGGGGCTGTAACGGAGATCCTTCATTGCTGTTGGCCAATGTTTGCAAATCAACCAGATGTTCCTGGTAAAGCACAAACTGGCTCGGATTAAAGTGAGCTAAACCAGCCGGCCACCCTGCACGGACGTACACAACATAAGCCAGACCTTGATAGCAAGTGAGCCTTGCCTGACACGCAGCTCTCAACTGTACTGCAATTAGATATCCAATACAGAAAAATGTAAACCAATAATTAAACAGCCTTTTATCTTGTAGATGCATACAAGGTTAGGTGTCCAGGAATGTCTGACAGGAGTTTGTAACTTGTCAACAACATAAAAAAAACATTAAATGAGTCAAGCACTATCTTCAAGATAAGAGCTGCTTGTTTATTGCATTCCATTGTCCAATAAGGTTGTTTGGACCCAGAGTTATCTGGATTCGGCCCAGATGAAAACCACCCATTAATGGAATTGGCCAAATATCATAATAGAGTCAGCAGGAACGTCCTTAAAAATAAGTATTTAGACACAATGAGGCTTTCCTGGGTAAGTAAAGAGTAATGTTACGATTATGGGCGGTCGTGGCTATGCACGTGGCCTGTAATCCAGCACTGTGAAGGTAGTTGGACCTCACAAATGTTGTCAAATTCATTTTCTGTGGGCGTCGAGGTGGTGCCATACTCTGGCTGCCAAGAGAAAGCGGCACAGCAATGTGCAGACTAATATCATCTGTTCCTTCTGTGTGAGATAGTGTTTCCCCCTCACACACATAGCTTTTGCCCAGGCGCTCCAGTTTCATTCCACATGGTAAAACACTAAATTAGCTGAAAACATCTCAATATACAGAGGACTGCAGAGCTTTACAATTGTTGGTAGTGCCGACTCTCTGTCTGTCTGCTTGTCTGTGGTTGCTGAGCTAGAAGTGAGATGCAATTTGCATGACCTATGGTATATAAAACTAAAATATTATTCTCACCATATAAATGACCCTGGGGTCAAAGGAGCAGACGATGCTCTTGTTGTAGAGTTCCGGCCGGGATTCGTAGATTTGTTTGAGCACCGTAGACGACTGCGACAAGAGAAGACAACAGCCATTAGGGCGAGCACAATCTGCTTGACGTCTCATCCAAATTGTCGATGAATCCAGCCGAGATGGAAAAACTCGAAATAGACATTTGTTGCCTCCTCAACCTGGGGCCAAGAGCCATCCACGACCAGGGCATGTGACCCGATTAGTTATGGTGAGTAGGGAGTACACTTTTATTTCACTAGGAGATGGAAAACATATTAAGACAACATGAGATATGATATAATTCGCAATCTTGGGTGTCGTGGGCTAAATCGTAACTTCGATGAAAAAAAGAAATACACAGTTAAAGAAAGGCATCAATACACATTAAAGCAACGGTGGGTGAAATGCTGTTCGTGGACCTCTTTGGTGGACTTTTACAGAGTGCTGTCATTCTGGTATCCACCAGAGAAGTGGGCTTCCTCTGGTGTCACCATGCATGTACAAGTGACGAGCTGTGGCACAAGTGACGATGCTCAGAAATGACAATAGGTGGCCAACATCAGACACTGGCAGCAGTCGGAAACCGGAAGTAACCGTTAAAAGTTAAAAGAGCTTCTTCAATCAGTTCAAGAAGAAGCTCCCAGTACGTGGAGCGAAACGTCGGATATCATGCCGAACATCATGCGGTACATCCCGCAAACACATCGGAGCTATAAAAATGCCTCCTTCCCATATTTATCTCTGAACAACCACATAAACAAATCTGTCTTTTTTTTTATAACTCTTCATACACAAAGCCTTCTAGGCATGGTTCAATAGAAGCAAACTCTGGACTGGATTTGACATTCAGCGTCTCATCGGCAGGGTCAGGCTTGCTTGAACCCATGCTAGTAATTTTCGCGATGTTTATAGGCAAGGACTCTCTGCTAGATATAGCCGCTAGTTTAACACAAATCTATAAAATACAAAATAATCATGATCGTGGCACACAACTGTGGAGGCAGTGAGGGTTCGTGGATTGCGCAAATGCTGTGAAACTCCCTTCCCGTGGAGGTCAAAATGCCGTATACCCTGGCTCCCCATATGAAGGCAGTATGGTAAATGTGGACTCCATGTTTCATCTGCATGGGATGAAGTGTTGCCCCTCGCACGCGTGGGTTGTCTCCAGGTGATCCAGTTTCCTCGCACGTGAATACAATTGGCCAAACAACCCGATATAGGGCCATAGAGCTTGGGCAATCAATAGCACTGGTACTGGCTGCAATCCCGCGTGACTTTACCGAAAAAACTAAGAATATGAATTACTGCAGTCACGAAAGCTTTAAATCAAAATTTAATCGCCTCTACGGGGAGGGTTTTCACATAACTTTAAGATCTTTCAACAAACTCCGGGATAAGAAAGCTCAGCTGATCGAGTCTCTCACCTTCCTGAAGAGATGCCGCGACTCTGGGGTAATACCAATCGCATTTACACTCACCTCTGCTACTGTAACTTCTTCTAATGCGAAACGAATTCTTTTCAAAACTAGCTTAGCTCTTATCTCAGAAAAAATCAGACTTATACGCACAGAACTAGATCAGTTAGACAAGACACTCTACAAATCACACTTATCATTGACGGCAATAATGTCCACATCGGATTGGGAACATGTAGACTATATGACTGCCTCTTCAGCTGCTACGATGTCGACCAAATGTAAGGAAAACCTGATTTCCAAATTTAACCTCCTCTTAAACAAAAGACCGGACCCACACACCAAAAAGTTAGACGTTAATAAAGTCGTAATTAATCGCAGTAACAGTTCTATTTCCGATGGTCTGAAATCCGTTTTAGCTAAAGGTCTAAACTTTGCAGTCACACCTAAACACATACCAGTTAATGATATAATTGCCCAAGTAGACGTTGCTCTCAGGGGCCTGGGTCACATCGCTGCAGACGTAGCAAGATCTGAAATCGCTGCAACCCTCAAAAACGCTAAGATGCCAGCTAGCAACCTCAGCAAAGATGAGCGTTTTGAATTATATAAATTAAAAAAGAGGAATGATATTGTAGTTCTCTCAGCTGACAAAGGCAATGCTACTGTTATCATGGATAAAATAGAATACAACAACAAAATTAAAGAATTACTCGACGATGGTAGTTATACAAAAATAAAAAGAGATCCCACCAACAGCCTCGTCACACAAACCAACAAAATAATTTCTGATTCAACCACATTAATTGATCAATCTAAACAGTTTTCGTTGAAACCTTCTGCTGCCAGGCCACCAAGATTATACGGCTTACCAAAAATACATAAAGTTGATACACTTCTTCGTCCCATAGTCTCTACTATCAGCTCCCCCACCTACAAACTAGCTCGTTTTTTGTCTGAAATCCTGCGTCCTTTCACTGGAAAGACCACCTCTGCGGTACAAAATTCTACTCACCTGGTATCAACAATCAAGGGTATTTCCCTGTCCCCAGACGACCTGCTTGTCAGTTTTGATGTAGTTTCCTTATTCACCAAGGTTCCTGTACCTGACACCATTGCAATCATTGAAGACTTGGTTCATCAAGGACTAAACACTGAGGTACCCCCCCTGGTGAGACACTGTTTAACCAATACATACTTCACTTGGAATGGAACTTTCTACAAACAAACTGAGGGCACCCCAATGGGCTCCCCCCTTTCTCCAGTTATAGCTAACATTTTCATGGAGAAATTTGAGACTGACGCCATCCAGACTGCCACTCTGCGCCCAACCTTATGGAAGAGGTACGTGGATGACACTTTTGTCATCTGGCCACATGGCCGGCCTGCTCTAGACAAATTCTTCGACCACATCAATTCCATACACCCAGCCATCAGATTTACCATGGAAGTCGAAATAGATGGCAAGATACCTTTTTTGGATGTCCTAATTAAAAAGAGACCTGATGGTTCAATGAGCCACTCTGTCTACAGGAAAGCTACCCATACGGATGCTTATCTGAAACCGGATTCCCACCACCATCCATCACAGAAGAATTCTCTCATCAAGACTCTGTATCATAGAGCCCAATGCATATCCGACCAGGAACACATAAGCAGTGAACTCAAGCACGTACACCAAGCTCTTAGGGCTAATGGTTACTCCGACTATACAATCCGCAAAGCTATCACTCAAACCATGAAGAAGAACCCTCTTGAGGAGCCTTTCAAAACCATCACTTTACCCTACATTGATGGGATCACAAAAAAGATCTCCAAAATCTTGAATAAACACAAGATCCAGGTCCGTTTCAACACATTACATAAAATCCGTGATCTGGTTCCGTCTGTAAAAGATGTGATTCCGGACATACAATACCCTGGTGTCTACAAACTAAGTTGCCTCTGTGGTAGTAGTTACATTGGAGAAACCAAACGCCATATCTCGGACCGCATTCGTGAACATAAAGCAGACCTTAAACACGGTAGGACCAACACCTCGGCCGTAGCAGATCATTGTTCTAATTCAGTAGGCTCACATGCCATTGACTTTTCCAAGACGGAGGTTCTTTGTAAGCCATCTGGCTTCCATGAGAGATTCGTTCATGAGGCTATCCACATATACAAACACAGAGACAATTTCAACCGAGAAGATGGATTCTATCTTAGCAATCATTGGAAAGATTTGATAAATCATTTCAGTTCTTGATTGATTGTTCACGCTTACAGTGCCTTTCAGACAGCTTACATAAAAACAAATTTCGTCTCCCCCCTCCTCTTTTCAAAAAATAGATGGACTAGTCCTGGCAAACTGCCATCGTTGCGCGTGACGCAAACGTTATTTTTATATATATAAATAAATATGCCGTTTTCAAAATAAATTTATGCAAACCGACACACCTGATGATGACCGTTTGAGTTATGGTCGAAACGTCGTGAGAATTTTTTATTGTTTTATATATATTTTGTTATTTTGTTGTTTCTCTTCAACGTGACTTTACCGGAAAAAACTAAGAATATGAATTACTGCAGTCACGAAAGCTTTAAATCAAAATTTAATCGCCTCTACGGGGAGGGTTTTCACATAACTTTAAGATCTTTCAACAAACTCCGGGATAAGAAAGCTCAGCTGATCGAGTCTCTCACCTTCCTGAAGAGATGCCGCGACTCTGGGGTAATACCAATCGCATTTACACTCACCTCTGCTACTGTAACTTCTTCTAATGCGAAACGAATTCTTTTCAAAACTAGCTTAGCTCTTATCTCAGAAAAAATCAGACTTATACGCACAGAACTAGATCAGTTAGACAAGACACTCTACAAATCACACTTATCATTGACGGCAATAATGTCCACATCGGATTGGGAACATGTAGACTATATGACTGCCTCTTCAGCTGCTACGATGTCGACCAAATGTAAGGAAAACCTGATTTCCAAATTTAACCTCCTCTTAAACAAAAGACCGGACCCACACACCAAAAAGTTAGACGTTAATAAAGTCGTAATTAATCGCAGTAACAGTTCTATTTCCGATGGTCTGAAATCCGTTTTAGCTAAAGGTCTAAACTTTGCAGTCACACCTAAACACATACCAGTTAATGATATAATTGCCCAAGTAGACGTTGCTCTCAGGGGCCTGGGTCACATCGCTGCAGACGTAGCAAGATCTGAAATCGCTGCAACCCTCAAAAACGCTAAGATGCCAGCTAGCAACCTCAGCAAAGATGAGCGTTTTGAATTATATAAATTAAAAAAGAGGAATGATATTGTAGTTCTCTCAGCTGACAAAGGCAATGCTACTGTTATCATGGATAAAATAGAATACAACAACAAAATTAAAGAATTACTCGACGATGGTAGTTATACAAAAATAAAAAGAGATCCCACCAACAGCCTCGTCACACAAACCAACAAAATAATTTCTGATTCAACCACATTAATTGATCAATCTAAACAGTTTTCGTTGAAACCTTCTGCTGCCAGGCCACCAAGATTATACGGCTTACCAAAAATACATAAAGTTGATACACCTCTTCGTCCCATAGTCTCTACTATCAGCTCCCCCACCTACAAACTAGCTCGTTTTTTGTCTGAAATCCT